ATAGTACAAGGCTGCAAACGAGCAAGCGGCCACCTGAATCAAACAAAATGGAATGCAATCGCTGCCCATATACTTCCAAAATTGCAGATGCGTTGCCTTCCCTTAATTGACAGAGGAGACGCACATAAAAGAGATATTTCCCCTTCCTATGCGCCTCCTCTACCGTCAAATCTACTTTTCCTTCCCATACTTGCATCTTAAGATGTGGGTGGTAAGGGAAAGGAACTAAAATTAGGCCTCCGGCACCACACTAATCAGACGAAACGCGGAATTGCTCCCACTCCACCCCTGTCTTCTGCGCGGTATTTCAACGGGCGAACCGGCCTATTCGCTGGAAGACGTTAAAGCGGGCTCTACCACTGTTAATGGGCATATTTATTGCCACAAGAACTACAGATGCGTTGACGTTAAGATAGAGATACGCTAACTTCCTGATAGACACTAAGTACTTCAGTGACAAAACACTTCTATAAAAACTGTCATTTGTTTTTGAATAAACAAGAACATTAAGGGCCTGTCCTACCTCTGGATAGATAAGGTAACAAAATCCGATATTTCCATTACATATTTTACACGTCGGATTGTTATCAGACGATGTACAATTTGGTGGGATAGGCCCTAAAAGCATGCGCACGACTTTGACTAAACTAAACACAACTGATGTGCGATTGTCAATAGATTTGTGACCAATTGTTTAGTTGCACAACTAAAAATTGAGTAGAATAAAACAGAGACTAAGTGTGCGATACTTTAGTCAAAGGTGTGCGCTCTAACAGTGATAGAGCCCATAATAACGTGTTATGCACGAATGAATCGGTTTGCCCCAAGTAAACCATGACTATAGACAAGATAGGTGTGAAGTGGAAAAAATTCCGCGTGTCGTCTGACTATGCGAATAGAATTCTTAATTTAGTCGAGATATTTGGGCGAAACTAGGTTGCTTGCTCGTTTGCCACATTTTAAAGCAAAATAAGCTTAATATATTCAAAAATTGCTGTGCAACATGTTGTTTTGTAGGGGAGCCTTAAAGTAAAATATTTTACTAACATTTAAAATAAATGTAAAAGAAAATACATTTTAAAAAGTAATTTAAAATCTGCACAATCACGTAGAGCAATTTATCACTTCCTGAATGTTCGAGAAAACTTCCTAATGATTATGGACTCCGGTGATTCTTGCTTTTTAAAGGTTTATTTTGACATATATCTGCACACTTACAGCGAGGAAAAACATCTTGCTGTCTTCACATATCTGTAAAAAATTTCAAGGATATGTGTGAAACTAGCATTATCCAATTCACTAAGTCACCCCTAAGGTGGTAGACTTCAAGTCTAAATAATCATCTATGAAAAGTAGTCCTCTTTTTTTTATAATATAAGGTAGCAAACGAGCAGGCGGCCACCTGAATCCACCGAAATGGAAAGCGACCGCTGCCCATAAACATCCGCAATTGCAGATGCGTTGCCTACCCTTAATTGATGAAGGAAACGCACATGAAGAGGACATTTCCCCTTCCTATGCGTTTCCTCCACCGTCAAATCTTTTCCTTCCCATCTCATCCTCTTAAGAAAAGGGTGGAAAGGGAAAGGGACCAAAATTAGGACTCCTAAACTATAGTCGTGAGTGTAAATATATAGAATTGTGCTCTCCATTCAATATTATCTTCGCAACATGTTCAACAGTATCAGATATCAGAGGTTATTAAACCACAAATATGAAATACATGTCGGAATATTAACTTGATTTGCTTTGAGAATCGGATTAATGTAAATCCACACTTCAATAACATCAATGTTATCCTTACAATATAATTAATAATACTTCCTAGTAATTAAAATTGAATTACAAAAGACTACTTCCAGGGATTTTTAATTAATTATATCATCCATCCGTTTTAATCCAAAGTCGAAATATCTACACTTCCATACAAATATAATAAAAAAATAAACACACTCTATTTTGTGGCGTAGGATCTCAGCAATCACAGTATATTTTTAAATAATTATTTCTTTATTAAAAAGCCCTACGACACGATTCAGGCTATTAAGCTTAGGGGGTAAATAAATTGAAAAAAAAAACATTAATGTGGGAAAGGGACCATAACCTACAAACTGTCATTAAGGAATCAAGGTTATTATGGTAACGGTAATTTTAACATTTGCAATTGAGAATTTGACATATGTAAACAAGTCCCTTTCCCTTTCCACCATTTTCTTAAGAGGAAAGGATGGAAAGGAAAGGTGGATTTGACGGTGGTGGAGACGCATAGGAAGGAGAAATGTCTTCCTTATGTGCGTCTCCTCCTCCGTCAATTAAGGGTAGGCAATGATTGCGGATGTTTATGGGCAGCTGTCGCTTTCTATTTCGGTGGATTCAGGTGGCCGCTTGCTCGTTTACCACCTTATATTATAAAAAAAAATAATAAAATATGATTTTTATAATTCCATGCGGATGAAGCTGCACGGAAACATCTAGTTTTTAACTAAAACTGAAATAACGTAATAGACGCTGTACGAGTATATTGAATTTAGCTTACTTCTGATTATTGTAAGCCGTTTGATTGTTACAATAAACTATTAACTTAACTTTTTTTAGGATAAAAGTGTTCAAAAACTAAATGTTCAAATTATCCTCGTAAGGATAACTTTAGTATCAATCGATTAGGGTAGATATAAGACCGTGTATGGCGGCCATTATGTGGCTTGAAGATTATCTCGACTTTGTCCACAGACCCTGCATACAAACTGACCACTTAATTAATTAATTTATACTACGTCAAGATGGAGTTAGAGAGATTTGTAAAGTAATTCCATTAAATTAATACACTATCCCACAATCATTTAGTTATAAGAATTAGGAACTGTCCCACCAAATTGTAAATTGTCTGATATTCTAACGTGTAAAACATGTGATGGAAATATCGGTTTTTGTTACCTTATTGCTATCTGAGCCTCTATCAGCCAGTCGTGGTACCATATAAACCCAACCAAACTAAATGGCTATTAAGGGAGTCCTTTTAATAAATAAATATAAACTAGCTGTTTATGTAAACTTGAGTGTGGCAATTAATACTATTTTGTCTAAAGATCTACATCCTTTCCAAGAAGTCATAGGCGTCGCAAGCAAAGGATCTAGGCTAGGTTACATTTCACATTTTTAAATTCCCTTGCGACGCTGATTTCCTATATCTTATTCTTTCCAAAATAAGGATTTATTGCTGTTTCAAAAAAATCTGGCAACTAACAAGATAATGCGAAAGCCAGTAAATTTTTATATTAAAAAAATAATTTGTTCTTTACAAAATATGCATGTCATTGAACGTAATAATTCTAATTTAGTTTTATAAAAACATGTTGACTTTCAAAGGACTTCAAATAAACGTTCGTTGATTAGAAAATAAATTG